GGCCCTAGACATATGCCTTAGTAGCCTATGTCTTCAGCCGGCCCTGACAATTTTTGTAAGTCCACTATTAATCTCAATTATTCGTTTACTGATCCTTTTTCCCTTGTTTTAAGAAAAAATCACGTGATTAACTTTCTCAATTGAAGCTGATGTTCAAATCTCAATGTAGATAGAACTTTTTTGCAAATTTTAAAGCTCAAAATCCGCCGAAATTGACATGATTCTAATTACAAGTTTTAGAACTTGGATTTTTACTAATTTTTTATGAACATGGTAGGGCAATGTAATCGCCACCAATAAAATATAATGGAAGTTTCTAAAAAGTACATAGACCAATGATGCAGTAATATTAGGGATCTCTGTTGTGCGCAACGAAAATTTCGGCAGCACCTTCGGTGCGCAAGGTGCACAACAAGAGATTAGATCACAACAGAATTCATGTTTCACAAAGGAAACAAGAACCGAAAGTAAAATAACTCAACAAAGTGAGATATCAGTTCTTTCTCTCATCAGTTCTAGGACTGACTTGTTGAGGGAACCTACAAGCTATTACAAATCGCAGTAAGAACATAAATTTTACGTGCTTCGGCAAATTGCCTACATCCACGGGGCAAGGAGGGGGAGATCTACTATTAGAGAGGGAGAATACGAATAGGGTTTACAATCACATAATCCAAACACTCACACAATCTCTCAAACCTCTCACAAAAGGACAGCAGCCAAAACCCTCTCAAACACAAAACTCTGCTGTTTTTTTTCTTCTCTGCAGCTTTTTCTCCCCTGCAATTTTTCCTTTTGCACACGAATCAGCCGCCGCTCTTTTCTTGTACCCTGCCTCTGCACTTTCTTTTTGCCCGCAACCCTAGAAGATCTCATGGGTATAAATAGCTAGTGATGCGGTTTAAAACCAATGCGAACTTGGGCCTTAGCATTTGTCCGCTGCACTCAAGCAGCAAGACGTGTGAGTGGGCCCAAGGCACACGTGAACTCAGCTTTGTTGTTCATAATTCTTCACCTCGGTGAAGTTTCTTACAAAACTGATCCGACACCAAAACATCCAAATGTCCCATTTGTTGTGTCCAGTACGCCATGAAGTTAATTCACGATAACGAACTCACTCCACAACAAGTCGGGAACCGAACGAGAGTTCAAACAATCTCTCCCCCATCAAAATCAACTAATCCAAACCGGCTACATCGTAAAGACTGTCTACGTATCTTCTTACCCAAGGAATCAAGCCTCACATAGTTCACTCTATGGCCTCCAAATGCCTTAACACCGAAGAATGTTCAAAAGCTCCAAATAATGACCAAACTTCACACCTGAAACAACTTTGGTCAACATATCTGCAGGGTTGTCCTTCGTGTGGACATTCTCCAATATGACGTCTTCATTATCCAAAACGTCACGAATAAAGTGGAATCTGACATCGATATGCTTCGTGCGCGCATGATAAACCTGGTTATTCGTCAAATAGATAGCTGGCATGCTATCACAATATACTTGAAGGGTCTCCTGTGCAATCTCCAAGTTCTCTAATAATCCACACAACCACAAAGCCTCTTTTACAGCTTCAGTCACCGCCATATACTCTGCCTCTGTAGTAGAGAGAGCCACTGTGGACTGAAGTGTACATCGCTAACATACCGATGCACCTGCTAGTGTAAACACATATCCGCTAGTAGACCGATGCTTGTCCAGATCCCCGCATAATCAGAATCCACGTAACCAATACAATCCTACACATTCTTCTCATTCTTCTGAAATACCAAACCAACATCCACGGTACCTTTGATATACCGTAGAATCCACTTCATGACCTCCCAATGACCCATCCCGGGGTCGTGCATGTACCTGGATACCATGTTCACGGTCTGTGACAAATCTGGCCTTGTACACACCATCGCATACATCAAGCTACCTACAGCATTGACATATGGAACTTTGGACATGTATTCATGATCCTCAACTAAAATAGGTGACATCTTAGCTGATAGCTTAAAGTGTGGAGCTAATGGAGTACTCATCGCCTTGGTATTGCCATCATAAATGAATTTCTTCAGCTTCTTCTGCAAGTAACTCCTCTGTGTCAACTTCAACCTTCCCTTCACCATGTCTCTCTCAATCTCCATACCCAATATCTTCTTTGCCTCTCTAACGTCCTTCATCTCAAATTCGAATGATAGCTCCTTTTTTAACTTTCTAATAGCTGAAGTATTCCTGAAAGCTAGTCAACATATAACAGAAAATAAATATACTCACCATTTTGTAGCTTATGCATGTAAACACACGGGTCATATGGGCTCCTCTTATACCATCGGCCAATCATAAAACCGTTAAATCTCTTGTACCATTGTCACGACGATTGCTTCAATCCGTAAAGAGACTTATTCAGCTTGCATACCAATTCTTCATTTCCTACAACTTTGAACCCTATAAGTTGTGTCATGTAGATCTTCTCTTCTAAATCTCCATATAGAAAGACTGTTTTCACATCCATCTGGACGAAATCTAAATCCAGCTGGACGAAATCTAAATCCAGCTGGACGAAATCTAAATCCAGCTGTGCCACCAATGTTAATAAAATACGAATCGACGAATGCTTCACAACAGGTGAAAATACATCGTTGTAATCTATGCCCTCAAGATGGGCATAACCTTTGGCAACTAATCTGGCTTTGAATCTAATTTCTCCAATAGAAAATCCTTCTTTCTTTGCATACACCCACTTACATCCAATAGCATTCTTACCCTTCGGTAGCTTTGCAAGTTCCCAAGTGTCGTTCTTATGAAGAGACTGCATCTCCTCCTCCATGGCTTCCCTCCACCTAATCGAATCAGAGCTTGACTTTGCTTCCTTGAATGTAGAAGGAACCAAATCATCAACGACTTCTGCTGATAAAGCATATGCAACCATGACATCGTCATATCTAGCTGGCCGACGAATGTTTCTTCTTGGTCTATTAGTTGTAATGGACTCCTGAACATGACCATGTTCCTGAGTCCCAACATCCATTGTATCCTCTAAATGCCCGGCTGTCATTCTATCTCCTCCCAGTGTCACCTATGTAGGAGCCTCA